AATGTAGCATGGACTATTGTCTTTTTTTGTCTATTGCGTAGCAATGTACTGTGCAGTTTGTAATTACAAACAATTTCCTCCGGGATAACAAAAGTATTCTGATTCCGATTCTGACTGAAGCAGAATTGCTATAATAACACTTTCCGCTGAACTGACGTATGTGATCTGTATGTCATAAGCTGTAAGCTGTGCAGAAGTTTCCGGCAGGCAGCCAAATGTAACAGTGATGAGTCACTGGTCAGTCCACTCTGCCCCTTTTCCCTCGTCACACTCATTTCAGCCAAAGCCAATCTGCCTTTCCACACCCTCCTCAGGAAACGGGCATTCTCCTCGAACCCCTAAGTAACCCCAACCCCGCTGGCTGGCTTTCAGCCGTACCCCAAACGCCCGGGTATCCAAGGTGGAGGCCGATCCTCGGCTCGGCGCCCCTCCCATGCCCGCTTTGGGTGCCCCCGCCATGTGGACGGCAGGCGAAGTTCCACACCGATGCCCATCAGTCCCCCCCACCCCCCCCCCGAGTGTTTTGCTCAGGATACAAGTAAAATAAAGCTTTCAAATCAAGCAGATAGGGCAAAACCTCACTGCTGATTCCAGCTAAAATACTTAAGAGGCAGAATTAATATTTCTTCTGCATCATATGTATTTTGTGTCGTGCGTAATAAAACACACACACAAAGTATACAGACCTCTATGTCCTTCCCGGCTTCGGTGAGGTAATTCAAACACAAATGTCAAAGTATCAACAGCAGCATCTCAGTGGGACTTTAACCTGCACATTTTGACAGCAAGAAGAAATGCTACCAAACTACCTGCCCCAGATCTCGTGTCCGGTTACCCTGCATGACACTATTGCCCTGAGTTTGCCCGTAGGATGCTGGGAGTTGCTATGTCACCCTTATTTAACCTGTATGACCTAGTGGTGCCCCAATTTTGCCTGTAGGACCCAGTGGTGCCCCGATTTTACCTGTATGACCCAGTGGTGCCCAAATTTTGCCTGTAGGACCCAGTGGTGCCCTAATTTTGCCTGTAGGACCCAGTGGTGCCCTAATTTTGCCTGTAGGACCCAGTGGTGCCCCGATTTTGCCTGTAGGACCCAGTGGTGCCCCGATTTTGCCTGTAGGACCCAGTGGTGCCCCAATTTTGCCTGTAGGACCCAGTGGTGCCCCAATTTTGCCTGTAGGACCCAGTGGTGCCCACGATTTTGCCTGTAGGACCCAGTGGTGCCCACGATTTTGCCTGTAGGAGCCTGCAGCACACTAATAGGCTGCCGCTACGCTGGTAGCATAGGTACCCGTTCCACCTGCCTGCTGCACAAGCCAGGGTCCAAGGCCGAATCACTGAGTGACGCCTTTG